TATATATAAATAAACCTTTTTCTCTTTTAAAGCAGAAGATAAACCTAGGCATGGTGGTGCATGCTTGCAATCCCAGCACTCATAAGGCTGAGGCAGGAATATCTCAAGTTTGAGGCTAGCCTGAGCAATATAGTGAGACTCTTTAAAAACCAAATAAGCAACAGCTTGTTTCAGCTCCCATAATGGAGCTGAATAATGCATTCTAATTTTTTCCTTTACCCAATTTTAAACATTTGCCCACAAAATAAAAAACAATCCTTTTTTACAACTAAAGGGAAAAAGTAAAATATAGTACCAAATTGTCTTATGGTTTGTATAGCTTTGTATGTTATTAGACTCAGGACACTAAAAAGAGAATGCCATGGGTCCCTAAATACACAGGTTACATATTTACTAATAATAGCAATAATAATAATAATAAATAAAAACCTGAGCTGGAGAGATGGGTCAGGGGTTAAGAGCACTTACTGCTCTTGTAGAGGGCTCAGTTTCGGTGTCCAGCACCCAAATCAGGCATCTCACAGCCACTTGTAACTCCAGTTCCAGAGGATCTGATGCCCTCTTCTGGCCTCTGCATATTTGTGGTGCACATACAGACAAGCAGGCACATACATGTACATATAGAATAAAAGAAATATTAAAAAATATTTTACTATTTTTAAAATTATGTATATATGTATGTGTATCTGTGTGTACATACGTGCACTGTGAGTGCTGGTGCCCACAGAATCCAGAAACATTGAATTTCCTTGGAGCTGGAGCTACACAGCAGTTTGAGCTGCTGACCTGGGTACTGGGAACCAAATTTAGGTCCTGTGTGAAAACAGTGCGTGCTCTTAAGAATTAAGTCTTCTCTTCGACCCCAAATAAATAGATCTTTAAAAGCTAGGCCTTCATCAGGACTCTAAAGATGCACTTGAGGTGGGACTAATGGACTCCTTTAATTTTTCCTCTTCCCAATGTGACTGTATTGAATAAATCATTCCCTGCTTTTTACTATTCTTTGTTTCTTTAACTGGCCTATTGAGGATGGATGGCCAAGTCTAGCCAGTGAGGGCTGCCAAGGACCCAGGTTCTGACCTTAACAAACAACTCAGGTAACAAAAGCAAAGTTTAGGGAAAGAAGTAGTAAGTCACTGAATGTTCTTTGAACCCCTTAGAAAACATCACCTAGACATAAACTACCTTCCTGTGTCCTTGGGAAGATGGGTTGATGAATTTTCTAGGATTGTGATACTTCACTCTTCACATTTGCGTGCTGTCTCACTCATTTGTGTGCGTATGGGTGTGCTTATACATGTACATGCACATGTATACACATGTGTTTGGGGTATACAGAATTTTACAGGTTTTTAGAGGGTGAGTTCAGAGTTTGTCTCTTCACATTAAGGTCAGAGGCTGACCTTAGGTGTGTTCTTCTCCTATTTATTTATTATTTATTTACTTATTTATTTAATTTATTTATTTATGGTTTTTTGAGACAAGGTCTCCCTGTAGCCCCAGCTGGCCTGGTGCTATGTAGACCAGGCTGGCTTCAATTTTACAGAGATTCGCCTGCATCTGCCTCCTGAGTGCTGGCATTAAAGGTGTGCACCACCAAACTCTCCACCTTATTTTTTGGGACAGAGGCACTCACTAAGCCTGAAGCTCACCAACTGGCTGACTGGTTGGCAAGTGAGCCCCCTGCCTCTATCCCCCCAAATGCTGCGATTACAGGCAGGGGTGGTAGGCTTGGCTTTTCATGTAGGTGATGGAGATCCAAACTAAAGTCCTTATGCATGTGCTGCAAGCACTTTACTATCTGAAATATCTCCTTCATCTTCCATCTTCATAGGTGAATTTTACAGATTTTTAGATGGTGAGTTCAGAGTTTACTTCTTCTATGACATTTCATTCAATAATAACTTCCTCACGCTGGGCCTTTTCCTTTGAACCCCAAAGGCAAGCCTCATCTTCATTACACAGCCTAGCCCCAATCCATACACTGTGGGCTGGTTGAGCCCAATCGTTTTAGACACCCCAAAGACCCAGCAGGATCTCAATTAAAGCAGGCTTTAATAACCAGCAGCCCTCCAGGAAGCAAAGTGAGCAGGCTAACAATGAGATTGTTATTTTAGGGTCTGGAGGGGTTCCTTATAACTGCTCCTCATGCAAAACAGATGAGAAGACCAGATCTGTTCTTTCTTGGATATGTCCGAAGTCAGCTTCCAAGGAAGCTTTTCCATCCTGACAGTACTTCTACCATAAAGCCCAGGAGAGCAGGCAATGACATCACAGTGGCATAAAAAGTGGGAGAAGGCTACAGGGAGCAGATTTCAACTTTAGCAGAGACAGAAAAACAAGTAATAATGAGAGCTGTCCAGTAGGGGATAAGGCTGTGGTTTGGCTGGAGTGTTGCAAACAGCATCTTGGGGGCAGGCATCAAGGATGCAGTAGAAGGCAGTTGGGGAGGGGTGATACAGAAGTAGTTCAAGGGGCCGAGGGGCGGGCCACATAGCACATGTTGTGGCAATAAATCAGGCTCTGGGACTGTGCCTTCTTCTTTTACTGATTACTAGACTGACACAAGGCCTCATGTAGATAATGGTGGCCTCAAACTCCCTATGTAGCTGAGGATGACCTTGAACTTCTGATCCTTTTGCTTCAACCTCCCAACTGCTGGGATTATAGGTGTATGCCATCACACCCATTTTATGTGTTGCTGGGGATTAAATCCAGGGCTTGGTGGGTGCTAGGCAAGTGCTGTACCAACTGAGCTACATCCCCAGCCCACATTCTTGTTTTCAAACACCCAGTGTATTAACACATTATCTCACTGAGTCTATAAGCACCATCAGGAGGTGTTCATAATTAACCTAATTATTTGGTGGAAGAAAGAAAGGAAGTAACCTGCTAGCAAGAAGTGAAGCTGGGATTTGAACCCCTTTGTGCCTGACCCAGACCTTGTGCTGCTTGCATTACCAAATCAGAACTACTGGCAACTATTTAACAGTATTATTTATTATCATTTATTTTTAATAATTATTTATGTTTAAATATTTTATTTACTGTTCTTATTTTTGTGTATGAGTGTACTGCCTACATATATGTAAGTGCACCATGTTGTGCAATGCCCACAGAGGTCAGAAGAGGGCATTTGATCTCCTGGAACTAGAGGTATAGACAGCTGTTAGCCACCATGTGGGTACTGGGAATTGAACCCAGGTCCTCTGCAAGAGCAGCCAGTGCTCTTAACCACTGAGCCATCTCTCCAGTCCCTTATTTTTTATTTTTTATTGAGCTTTTGTAATTTCACAAAACAGTTCTTAATCAAATCCAGATCCATGCCCTCATTCATGCCCCCCACCATTCCCCACCAGGCTTCATGCATTCCGCCACACATGCCAAGTCCTATCCAGTCAAGCATTTGTACTCAGATGTCTTTCAGTGCAAACCAATCCACTGGAGTCTAGTCAGCCCATCTAGAGATTATATGTAAGCCATACTCCCCCTCACCCAGTAGCAATCAGTCTCCAATAGTTCTCAGTCTAGGGCTGGCCCACCACCCATTTCTCTCCTCCTCTCTGGGCCCTTGTTTAAATGACTTGGCATGGGTCCTGTGCTTGATGCCACCATTGTCATAAGTTCACATGTGTAAGTTTCCAGTGGCCTGAAAGAAACATTTATTTGTGTGTATTCATGAGTTAGCTTGATAATCACAGTACATGTGTGGAGGTCAAAGGACAAGAAAGAAAGTTGATTTTCTCCTTCTGTCATGTGGGTCCCAGAGGTTGAACTCAGGTCATCAGGCTTGGTGGCCAGTGCCTTTACCTACTGAGCCATCTCACCAGACTATTTAACAACATTTTAACTCTATTTCTTCTGCAACTGAGATATACAATACCAACCAAGAAGCAAATAAAGCTTAGTAAATATTTACCCAAAGAATAACACTGAGGAGGATTAAAGCTTTGACCTCCTAGGAAAGGGTCTAAAGAAGTAAACTTGATGGCTGATGCTAGGTGTGATTGGGTAATGCTTGTTAACTCAGTCCTTAGGAGGCCGAGGCAGGAAGATTGCTAAGTTGAGGCCATCCTGGGCTACATAGCCAATTCCAGGTCAGTATGGGTTATATCTAGGGAGACCTTGTTTCCAGAAAAGGAGGAGAAGGAGAAGGAAGAGAAAGAAGAGGAAGCAGCAGTAACATTTCCAAAGGAAATGACATTCATTGGAAAGCCATTGAATGTTCCTTTACACATGCTAGGTATCAACACTGAGCAGGTACCCAGCAAGTATACCAGTTTGATTCCTGCAGTAGTCACCCCACGCATTTTCCTTCCTCAAGAATGCTTACCTACATATTCTACTAAGGATAAAGAATTTGTAAATAAACCTTCATTATACATATTTGTTTTTTTTCCCTAAAAACTCTTGGGAAAGCCAACAGATTATTTCTCACTTTAGACTTGGCAATCAAATTGGAGGTATTTTTCATGAAGGGACACAACACAACAGGGATCTGGGGTACTGAGCGCAACCCCGATATCTTGAACCATACCTTAGGGTTTCCTCCACCTTCTTTGGCTGCATACAGCATCTGCAGAGCAGACTCTGCCAGTGTCTTGGTCTGGTCCAGCACTGTCATCTGCTGTTGATGGTCCAGCATCTTGGAGGCAACACCAACTGCAGCTAAGATCAAGGGCTCAAAGTAGCTCGCCAGCTGTGTTACCTTTCAAGAAAGAGAAGTCCCAGATGTATCAGGTAGGTTCAGGTCTCCTTTGGAGGGCCCGTTGGTGGGAAGGAGGTTGGGAGCAGGGATGGGCTGATTGGCTATAACTTGCTTTTGAAAGCACTTGCTAGTTAAGAGATGATTTTTTTTTCTTTTTTTTAAATTATTTTATGTGTAAGCATGTATTGCTTGCATGTAGGTAAGTGCACCCTTGTTGTGCAATGTCCGCAGAGGTCAGAAGAGGCTTTTGAATGGAGTTACAGACAGTTGTTAGCTGCCATGTGGGTGGTGGGATTTGAACCTGGGTCTTCTGCAAGAACCTTTCCATATATGTTAAGAGACGCATTCTGGGATATAGAGGTAGATATGAGACTGAAACAGAATTTTATAAATTGTCAATTTTATAAGTAAAAAAAATGTTAAGAATAAAAGACACCTCAGAAACTCAAAGGGATAGAAAATAGTAGAGAGACAGGGTAACAGAGGAAGTAAGATGAGAAGAGTCTGCAAAATCTTTCAGTAAGTCAGCCCAACTGTTGTCTATGCCAGGCATCTGAACCAAGCCTCAAATCTGGAATAAAAGGATGATTTCATTACAGCCTCAAGTGCTTTGGCTAATTTGGAAGAAAAAAGCTTGTCAAGGGGCTGGGAATGTAGCTTAGTGATAGAATACTGGTCTGGCATATGAGAGGCCTTGGTTTAATTTCTGGTGCTCAAATTAAACCCTAAACCGACCAGAAAAAAGAACAAAACCCACCGCCCCCAAAGAGGCCTGTTTCCTGGGACCCATGCCACATGCCATATATAATACATACATGCTAGCTATCTGGATGTGGCATGTTACCAAAATCTGAGGGTAGCAGGGTGATGCCCTTCTACTTAGCATCCAGAAAATCAGATTTTCATGTTTTGTTCCACACATAGTAATCTATTCTCACTGTGCTGAAACACAATGGCTGTTCTGTTTAATTTCTCATTTTGTACAGTCATGGCTGTTAAGATTCCCACTGAGGAGGTATATCAGTGCAAACCTTTGGCCTGTGGCAACCTTAAGCCTTCTTTCGCCCATGGGGAGGAGGAATAAGTACTGTGAGGATGTAGGCAGAGAGGCCACTTCACACCAGCAAGCAGTAGGTCACAAACAAAGCAGGGGTTGGTGTGTTATGAGAGCTGGACTGAAGTATGGATAAAGATATCTAAAGAAGAATAATAAAAGCTTGCTACAGTGGACAGTAAGACAAGACTATTAGCCAGCAATAAGCATAACTTTACCTTGCTATTCCTATCAGGGTATCTCACAGATAGGCACAGCAGTGCTGCTGCCGACCCTAAAGAGCCTTTGTGTGCATTTGTGTCTGTTTACACCTGTGTGCAGGTTCATGAGCATGTGTGCACAAGTGCATGTAGAGGCCAGAAGACCGCATCTGGTGTTTTTGTTAATTGTGCTAGCATATTTTATTTTGTACATGAGTGGGTCTGTGTGCCCATGCACACATGCAATGAGCCGATGAAGTTGAGTGTCTTCCTAGATCACTCTCTGCCATATTCCCTTGAGACAGGGTCTCTCATTGAACTTATAGATCACTAAGGATCTACTGTCTCTGCTTCCCCCAATGCTGTGGTTACAAGCATACACAGCCATATCCAGCTTTTCATGTGGGTGCTCTGGATTTAAACTCAGATCCTCATGCACTTTTACTTGGTGGCACTTTTACTCAATGTGCCTTCTCCCTAGCTCTTCCACCTTAATTTCTAAGATAGGGTTTCTCACTGAACTTACAGCTTTCAGATTTGGCTAGACTGGCTGGACAGTGAGACTACTAACAGGAATTGAATTTCTATGCTAACATATAGATGTAATATATTTACTGTTTACCTGCATAATATATTGTATATCTATACATTATATATTAAACATATCCATAATTTTGCAGGGGAAATAGATATGGCCTTTGTGATGGTTAATGTTAACTTGAGAGGCTCAAGAATCACCTAGGAGAAAAGCCTCTGGGCATGCCTGTGGCGTAGTTCCTGGATTAAGGTAAATGAGGTAGGAAGATCCTCCCTAACTGTGGGTAGCACCATTCCATGAGGTGGGGTTCTGGATTGAATAGAAAGGAGAAACAAAGCTGAGCACCAGTCTCTCTTTCTCCCCTCTCCCTTTCCCTCTCTCCTTCCCTCTCTCTGTCTCTCTTTCTATCCTGACTGCAGATGCAACTGACCAGCTGCCTCCTGTTCCTGCCACCTTCCCCAGAATGATGGACTGTACTCTCAAACTGAGTCAAAATAAATATTTTTTTTCTGAAGTTGCTTTTGTCAAATATTTAGTTACAGCAAGGAGGAAGTAACTAATACACCTTTTAAGGTCACCCTGAAATATGTTCTTGAGCTGGTGAGATGGTTCAGCCAGTAAAAGCACTTGGTGCCAAGACTGATGACCTGAGTTCAATCCCCAGGACCCACATGGTAGAAAGAGAGAACAGACTCCTGAAAGTTATCCACTGACCTCCATAAGAGCACACTGTACAATCTCCCTCCCCCAAAGGAAATAATATTCTTACAAATTTCTAATGTAATTTAAAGTGACTGCTGAAAGTAACAATCTTTCCAGCCTCTCTACCCAATTCAGTTTCTCTGTGATGGGCCAAAAGAGACAGCTCTTCTACCCACTCAGATCTTTCCACATGGGTAGATATGCCCTTTTCTTATTATCAGAGAACCCAGCTGAAAAATCAAATTTGCCACAAAGTCTTGAAAACTCTTCCTCAGAACCAGTGGAAAGTTGAGTAGGCCCTCAAACTGTTTTGTAATTTGAAAAAAGCAGGAATACAGAATTTCTAAAATGGTATCTGCACAGAAAATGTTGAGATTTTGCTTAGTGTATTTCTTTTGTTAAATATGGGGCTGAGAATTTAAAATATTTATTATTTGTGTGTGTGTGTGTGTGTGTGTGTGTGTGTGTGTGTGTGTAAGTGCACATATGTGCAGGTGCCCATGGAGACCAGAAGAGGGTGCTGGAACCCCTGGCCCTGGAATTACAGGCGATTGTGAGTTGCCCAACATAGGTGCTGGGATTTGAACCTGGGTCCTCTGGAAGAGCAGCAAGCACACCTTTAAAAAAATTTATTTATTTTCATTTTATGTGTGTGCGTTTTGCCTACATACATGTAGGTGTACTCTTTCCACAACGCCCAGAGGGCAGAAAAGGGCATCAGATGCCTTGGAACTGGAGTTCTCGATGGTTGTTAGCCACCATGTGAGTGCTGGGAACTGAACCTGGGTCTTTTGCAAGAAAAGACAGTGCTCTTAACTGCTGAGCCATTTCTCCAGTTCCCAGCAAGTGTGCTTAACCACTGAGTCATCTCTCCAGCCCTCAACAAGTGCTCTTAACTGCTGAGTCATCTCTCTAGTCCCCAGCCAAGTGCTCTTAACTGCTGAGTCATCTCTCTAGTCCCCAGCCAAGTGCTCTTAACTGCTGAGCCATCTCTCTAGTCCCCAGCAAGCAATCTTAATCACTGAGTCATCTCTCCAGCCCCCAGCAGTGCTCTTAACTGCTAAGCCATCTCTCCAGCCGCCTTAAGTGTATTTCCTGATACTCAACATTGATTCAGACAGCTGTACTGATAGATGCTAGGAAACCCTAGAATCTGGGGAAAGTTCAATTTCTGGCCTCTCCCAACAGAGGAACAGGCTTGTGATAGATAAGCTATCACTTTTCTGAGACTGTCATAGTAAATCCTCAGCAGGCAAAAGAGCATCTGCTACATGAACCATGTGACGATGAACTCAGTTGAATGAGTCTGCTGGGGTGGCCACGTAGGGAGGTTCTGGCTGCCCAAGGACAAGTCTTCTAGTCTGCTTTAAACACACCATCAGAACCTAGTTGGCCAGGGATGAAAGGTGACAGATTTTGCTTTTTGAGTGTCAGCTTTAGTCTCTGGCATATTTTAGGGAAGGTCAAGAGCATCCTTATAGTTGAAACGTATGACTACACTCATACTCTCCAAAAGATCTCATTACAGTTTCTTTTCAATTCTATTCAAACAAACAAACAAACAAACAAACAAACCAATGTTAAGAGTTTTTAAGAAGAAAACAGATGGAGGCTGATTTTCCCCTTCTTCAGTTTAAGCTCAGGCATGACACTTGGTACTGTAGGCTTTGGGAAGGACAAAATCAACCAAAATCTCCAAGTTACTCTCTCCGTCTCACACATACACACACACACCCCACCTCTCTCAGCAGGAGTCCCCAATTGCATGTTACCTTATGTCCCAGCTGGGCAGCTTCTCCCCGAGCTGCTGTGGCAATGGGATCAATAAGATGCCCAATTTCCTGGACCACCGAAGTCAGCTGTTCCTGCAGGGCCTGACAGGAAGAGAGTTGTCAAGTTCATCTGACAAGTTCCCCACAACACTGCACCAATCTGAAAAGGCCTTTATGAAAGACAAAAGGGGCCGCATGAAATCAGAATGTCTGGGGCATCCCCAGGATGCAGTTCCCTGCCTTGCCCTCTTTGATGATGCATTGGCTCTGGGGGTCGAATCCCTCATCCTTTCTCAGATGAGAGCAGAGGCAAGTCTGTGAGACATGTGTCCTGGCTTCGTACTCCCTCCAGCCCCAACGACTGATGCAGGTGGTGTCTTTGCTGTGTGTTATTCAGTACTGTTACTGGGAATGTGGAATAGCTGTGGCTTTCCAAGGAGAGCTGACTTGGTCCAAATGGAGATAGCTACTTGGGATCTGAGGGAACATTCAGGTCTCATATTCTCAGAACTTGAGGGAAAGAGTGATGTGAAAATGAGATGGGCAGGACTGCTTGCCTGATGGGTATCACGAAGATATCAGGTGGACAGTGTGCAGAGTTTGGCCAAAGTTCTCAATGTACTTGGGAACTTGCAGGCAAACATCAAAAATGGCACCCTAGAGGTATTTATTAGTCAGGTTTGATATGGCTTAACTTCCCCACTGCAAATAACTGAATTCAGACTGTAATGAGACAGGGAAAGAAAATCAGACTATGCTGGGAAGGTGAGAGAGTAGGGAATTCAAGGCTGGAGATTATTATCTATAGCAGGAAAGATCCCATCCTTTTGTAGGACTTGTTTTAGGAACTGCATTGGATAATTTCAGGATTAACCAATCAAAGCATTGGGCATCTTAAGAGATGCATACACTGACAGGTTACCTGACAAAGTGACAATGCCCTTCCCACATCTGCTACTTTGCCATAGAACCATGCTGCACTTAAAGCTGAGGGCTTCAGGCAGAGTCCACTCTGGGAGAGGGAAAGCCTAACAGGCAAGATTGAAAACAAAAGAGAGCTACCAAGACAGGGCAGGAAGAGAGAAGCTTCCCTGAAGTTCAAAGGCCTATTTAGCTAATTATTATCTTCACACTTATGTGATTATGGACGAGGATGCCAGGGCTGTCTTTATAATAGGTGGTTTGTTAAATTTAATATGGTATAATGAAAGCTCATGGGCAGCGAAGGGGGACTTTTTCTTCTGGGGGGGTGGTTTAAGACAGAGGATGTACATTGGGAAGGATGGTAAAAAGAGGGGATCCTGTGGGAGTTTCTAGGGTGTTTCTTGACCTGGGGGCTATTTTAAAGGATGTGGTCTATTGACGAGTCACTCAGACATATACTATGTATTTCCTGTATGTTCTACTTTAATAACAGGTTTAAAATAATAATTTTTGCATTCCCCATGGTTACAATGTTTAGTCTTGTTTTTCATTTCCCATATGTATGTATGTGTGAAGCTAAAATGTAACAGGCAGCTTTATTAATAAAAATGAGTGATGTGCAACTCTAGGTTCACTGATTAGAAAGAGGACACACAAAGCTCACTGTGCCTGAATTCTATGGCAAAAAGGTAAAAATATCATCCATATGTATTGAGTGCCTTCTGAATGTCAGGCACTGTGCTTTTAGTAGAGAAAGAAGTACAAACTGAGGGCTCTGCATGGGTAACAAGCAACTCAGGAGAAACAACCAAGAAAGGATAAAGTGGGGCTGAGGAAATGGCTCACTGGGTAAAGTGTCTGCTGCATAAGCATGAGGACTTGAGTTTGTACCCACAGAACCCAAGTAAAGGCTGGGCATAGTAGCATAACCCTATGTACATCTATAATACCAGTGCTGGGCTGAAGGATGGAGTGGAGACAGGTGGATCCTGAGTGTTCACTGCATAGATAACCTAGCTGAAAGAGAGAGCTCCAGGTTCAGTGTGAGGTCATTTTTTTTTTTTATGTGCAAAGATTCATTGCTGATTTTATAACAGTTAAAGCTTTGTAAGTAACAGTATGCAAGTAAAGAGGACACATGGCATGCAAACACTGGTATATTCATAGTATGAGCCATCTTGCCCCTGAGAAGAATAAGGCAAAGCTATAGACACTGACTTGGAAAGGTGTGGCCAATGACAGGAAAAGCAAGTTTCACATGGTGTAGTGATTAAAAGGACTCGAGTCAGTTGCTTGCGTTTAAGCTGACCCCTCACAGGCTGTGTAACCTTGGGAACATCAGTCACCTTATTTCAAAGCCTCCACTTTCTCCTTTGAAAATAGGAATGTTCTTAATTACTTCAAAGATGTGTGAAGATTGTAGAGCTGCTTAGTTTAGGAAAACATGCATAAAGTATTCCATAAATAGCTGCTGAGACCATTTTTTTTAAAAAAAAGGAAAATAAATTGAACCTCTGAGGTAGGACTGTTGGAGAGGATGTGGGGAAAGAGGAACACTCATCCACTGCTGGTGGGGCTGCAAACTTGTTCAACCCCTATGCAAAGCAGTGTGGAGAACTCTTAAATAACTACAAATGAATCTACCATTTGACCCAGTTATACCACTCCTTGGCATATACCCAAAGGACTTATCTTATTGCAGAGACACTTGAACTTCCATGTTTGTTGCTGCTCTTTTCACAACAGCTAAGAGATAGAAGCCACCTATGTGTCCTTCAATTGATGAGTGGATACGAAAATGTGGTTTATTTATACGATGGAGTTTTACTCAGCAGTAAAGAAAGATGAAATCACGAAATTTCCAGGTAAATGGATGGAACTAGAAACTGTTATACTAAGTGAAATAACAGACTCAGGAAAAAAAAAATTGACATATGTTCTCCTTCATATGTGGCTCCTAGAACCAAACCCTGATAAGTGAGTATGTATCCAGGCATAACTACAGGAACCAGGATAATGGAAAGGAACCAGGGAGGTAAAGGAAAAGAAATAACCTGAAGGAGAAGAATAGTAGGTAACAGGCCTTAATAAGGGAGATATGGATAAAAATTGGGTTAGATTAGGGGAGGGGGGAGGGAAGGGTATATGAGGAACCTAGGGGATAAAGGGAAAGAAGGAGCTCAAGAGAGATAGGACCATAGGAGAAGGGCATTATTAAGGGAGAAAGGGGGGAAATGGGAGCACCTTAATTGGGGAAACCATGATAGAGGGGTGAGACAATGTATGAGATAAATAATGCCTAGCTAGTTTTAAAAACCAGAGGGACCATTTTATTCCAACAACCTACTGACAAATTATACATACCAGATCAAGAAATATATGTCTAGATAAGGTTTATCTGAGAACAACTGGTCTTTGCCCAAGATTTATGTACATGACACACAGTAATTAAAAGTACCAGACTGGTGGAACTAACCTTCTTGGATGTTTAACAGATATACTTTGAGGCCTATAATAATTTGGTCAGAGGGACATAAAGGACACTTTTTGCTCCTGCCCTCCTAAGTCTACTAGTTCCAGGGGACTATGAGCATCTCTCAAAATGTCCTGTAATTGTGGTGGGTCACCTGTCCTCTTGATCAAGGAGGCTGAGGAGACTCCACCAGATGGACTTGAACCAGTGTCCAGTCTACAAAGAGGAGGGTCAACACAGAGGAATCACTTCCTCCATGTTTCCAAGTGAAGCCAGCCATGGTCAAGTAGGACCTCTGACTTATCTTCACATAGATGGAACTGGTAAAAGAAAGGAGCCAGGGGCTCCTCCCAAGCCTATGTGACCCCTGAGGAACAGATCCTCAAACGACCTTAAGAGTAAAAATAAA